TTTCCATTTCAGACATTGAAACTGTGAAGTGACTGTGCCTTTTGATTTTCGCAGCTTTTCACCGCATATATAGCAGAGATTTTCAAGGTTTTTCTGGTGAGAAGATGCCGTTGTTTGTGGGCTGATCGAAATTTGTAGGAATATTAAGTTGACCAAGTTCTTGCTTTAAGGAAATGGGACTAGAAATCTTATTACGGGGATGGACAATTAATACTTTAATGATACTAAAAGAAGAGGTGAGACAGCGAAGAAAACTTTATATTTTTGGGAGGAATGCTTTAATCCTCATTGCTTTCACCTTATGCACATCCGCCATTACCGCTTTGTAGCATAACAACATCTCACTTTATAATGCTCTTAATCATGCCGTGATGGTCGAACATCTGTGACAGTCAAAATGGGTAAAATCCATGACACATAAATGACAGATCCGTGACGACCTAGCAATAAATCCGTCACTGATGGAGACTAATATTCTCTTTAACAGCCTAAGTTTTTGCCAAAATCTGTGACGGCCTAGCTGTAAATCCGTGACGGATGGGGACTAATATTCTCTTTAAAAACCTAAGTTCTTGCTGAAATCCGTGATGGCCTAGCGAGAATCCATGACAGATGGAGACAAATATTCTCTTAAAACACCTAAGTTTTTGCTGAAATCGGTGACGGTGTAGCGATAAATCCGTGATGGATGGAGACTAATATTCTCTTTAAAAACCTAAGTTTTTGCTGAAATCCGTGACGGCCTAGCTATAATCTGTACCTTTTTGCTTTAAGTGTAAAACTTGTTAGTAGCATTTCAGAGATTCTACATGCTAATCGGAGAATCTAGCCACAATTTGCAATATGTATTCATGTTGATTACAATCGTCTACAAATTTATAAAAATGGCATGTATTACAAAATATTGTACGTTGAAATAGAATTATTACACTGATAAACAATTTCTCAATTTATTGCTAGAGCATATCAAATATCTTATCTCATGAAATTTTTGAATTATATATTTTTAATCAGATTTGTGGTCCTTGTTTCTCCTAGTCTCCCTCAGCTCCTCTTCCCAGTAACTTGCATTTTTCTTTGAGTCTGGTCTTTTAGACCTTTCTCGCTCTCTTAGCTCCCACTGCTGTGATTCAAGCTGTAAAACATCTGTTGGAGCATCCCATTTGTTAGACTTGTGTAAAACAATGTTTCTAGCCACATCATTGCCAGTTACTGTTTTATATTTTTAAAAAAGGTTGGAATATGGTATACCATAGCACGCATGTAGGGGGTCAGATTTGCCCTCTGTACCCATTCTTTTTGTCTCGCAGTGATGTGAATAAAGTAACCCAACCCTTGGCCCTTGCAAAATAACTGGCCATGTCTTCATTTGATGATTCCTTGCTAGCAACAATGGAATAGAGAGCATCAAAGTCCTCCCAACGTTTTTGAACAGTTTCCACAGCCTCTGAATGGATAGCACTAGGAAGCTTGCTGGGTAGATCTTATAGTAATTTTTTTTTCTCAGAGCCCAGAAGACTTTTAAAGTCATACTGGCCAGAACCCTTGCCATCTGCATTTGTTTTTTTCCCAAATGTCAAAGGAAATCCCACAGGATCTAACTGTTTTTTGAAGTTAATTTAAATGGATAATTTTTTGGGCCGCTTGTTTTTTGTCCCAATTGTCTTTCTGATCCTACTGCAAAGCATCCCTAATTAAGTTTTCAATAAAACATCAAGTATCCTGAGTAATAAATGAAGTTTATCTAGTGTTACATGATCCATTTCTATGATAATTAAAGGTTTGTGTTCACAACAGTATTTTTCTTTTGCAGTTTTTCTGTAAGTGAACTTACATAACTTAAGAGGTGTTCATTGATTGTTTGTAAATTCTTAACTGCTCCATCTTTCTCTTGGATTGCCACCTGCATCTCTTGATGAAGTTTTTTTAGCTCTGACTCCAAATCACTCCACTCCAGAAGTTCATCTTTGATAAGCTCATTCTGCTCTCTTAATTCCACTAAGTCAACTGTGTGTCCTTCATAGATGTGAAACCTCTTAGACGTTTTACCCAGTTCCAGACTTTCCCTTCCACCCTTTGCCTTCTTATACTCAATGCAAACTGCCCCAGCTAATCTCTGAAGATGTACATGAACTTCTGTTCTTGTGATGTGGTCCTCACTGATAGCAAAGAAATTTCCAGGGATGGAAAATTCCAACAAATCAGTGTATGTTTTGTGGTCTCACTGATTCTTTACCTGTCCCAGATGTAGATGGGCTCTGTTCCTCTGAAGTAGGGCATGGATTTTTATTTTGCTTTGTTGCCTCACTAAGAAATTCTTGCCAGGCCTTTAAGAGTGGGTAGGGAATGTCCACAGCAAAGTGGACATTTCTAGTTACTGCTTTGGCAGCATATGCTAATGAGGGACTGGTATTTTCAATTGGTAATTTCCATTTCAAAAATGATTCAAATGGGGCAATATCAGACATTGTACTTCAAACAATGCTAAATATAGGGAATGAATTGAAATCTCTTTAATATGTAACATTTCCACTTTTCCACGAACGTCAGAACCTGAAAATCTGTATTTTATTTATTGGTGACCACACTGTGTTCGGTCAGCAGCTTTTGCCTTAAGGATAGCTTTGTAACCACTCGGTTTTTGAAAATGGCAGCCGAGGGAAGGCAATTTTTCTCACAACAAAGTAGAAATTGTTTGTCTTGTTCATTAGAAATCTCAGTTGGTTGAATGTGCATGCTACTGTTGGAAGCATCGTAACCTGCGATCATACCCTCCCTTCCTTATATTCAGACGTGGGGAAGGAGGGCGTGATACATTTACTTGTCGGATCACATGTTAAGAAATCAGATCGTGGTTTTTTCTCTGATTGGTCGAGAAACAATACTTATGAAACACTGCGTTTTTATTGGCTTTCATATTTTAACCTCACTTCTGGTCAAAAAGTTGGCCTGGCTAGTAGAAAACAAAATGGCAGAGACAGAGCAAGATGTTAGCAAGGACGAGTTTTCTGCTGGGTTAGTTGAAGCCCTGAGAAATTTTTACTACGATTCCCTGAAAGCAGAGCAGATAGAGTGCTTATGGTGAGTAATTTGTTCACGTGAAGATGTTTTGGCAGTTCTGCTTACGGGTTTCAGGAAGAGTTCAATCTACCAAATAATTCCAAAGGTGTTGGAGTGTTTGAAAAATGAAAGCGACTACAGGAATAAGTTCTTTGTCTGCATTGTCAGCCCACTGGAATGCATTAGAAAACAGCGAGTGGCAATTATCAAGAAGTTGCATTGTGATTTATCTGCGGCGGCCATTGGTGATGATGAGAAAACTGACCAAGATATTGAGGAGGGAGGTGCAAACATCGTGTTTGGCAGTGCAGAACAGTGGCTGAGCAATAGATGGAAGAAAGCTCTGCAGTTTGGAAGTTTGCATGACACCGAGGTCCTAGTGGTGGACGAAGTTCACAC